ACAGGGTTATTTATTAAAATAACTGAAAATTCGCAGCTATAAGATACATGGTTATTTATTAATACAACTGGAAACTCGCAGCTATAAGATACATGGTTATTTATTAATACAGCTGGAAACTCGCAGCTATAAGATACAGGGTTATTTATTAAAATAACTGAAAATTCGCAGCTATAAGGTACAAGGTTATTTATTAATATAACTAGAAACTCGCAGCTATAAGATACATGGCTGTTTATTAATATAACTGGAAACTTGCGGCTATAAGATACATGGCTGTTTATTAATATAACTGGAAACTTGCAGCTATAAGATACATGGCTGTTTATTAATATAACTGGAAACTTGCGGCTATAAGATACATGGCTGTTTATTAATATAACTGGAAACTCGCAGCTATAAAATACATGGTTATTTATTAATACAACTGGAAACTCGCAGCTATAAGATACATGGTTATTTATTAAAATAACTGAAAATTCGCAGCTATAAGATACATGGTTTCTTATTTCAAATTCTGAATACACGTATTTGTATTAACCACTAAGATTTATTTTATATGCATAGTGTTTCTGAAATCTGTCTCTCAGCGCCATACACTCTATACCCATACCGCAGTGAATCGAAAGACAGCATCGAGAAAGTTAAGTGCTCATGATTTTTATAGAACTGTTTATTGGTTTGTTTTGAATTTCACGCAAGGCAACACGAGGGCTAACGTGTGGTAAATAGCCGATCTAAAGATATTCAGTTCTGGTTTAGAAAGTGTGCGTTTAATCCCGAATTACATATGTGCGATTAGTGTGTTTTTGAAAATAATTATTAGTTTTCTACTGTAATACGACCAGCTAATTATTTCAAGTTGAAATTTCAGAGATCGGGAAAGATAATTTAAGTTATTCAAACTGTGAGTAAATGGTTAAAAAAACAACAAACGGAACAGATTATGGTTTTAGTGTTCTCTTAAGACCAATACATCTAAACCACATCATCATCAAACAACGTAAGCATGGAAACGGCAAACTCAGCGAGTATTGTAATTAGTAACACTCGTGGGAGTCGTGAAACGAAATGACTGTGTGTTTCAATAGGCAGAAGACTGACTGCCTCTCTCTCTATACACCTACGACTCCAGAAAGTCGTCATAAATGCAATGATACAAATATTAGCGAAGGATTTTGAAGAATAATTAATTTACTGAACGAATGAGATAATTTAAATATTTGAATTAACCATTGATAAATTAAGATTTGTTTTATATGGGATAAAACTTGGACGATAACAACGTAGTATTTGTAATACGTTCGAAAGAAAAAAATAATATTCGGAGATAACGAAAGATAACATATATTTCATAGGATATTAAAGAAATGAACAGTTATTATTAAAAGGTTAGCCATGGATCTTATAATGGGCACTTGTTTGTTTGTTTTGAATTTCGCGCAAAGCTACACCAGGGCTATCTGCGCTAGCCGTCGCTAATTTAGCAGTGTAAGACTAGAGAGAAGGCAGCTAGTCATCACCATCAACTGCCAACTCTTGGGCTACTCTTTTACCAACGAATAGTGGGATTGACCGTCACATTATAACGCCCCCACGGCTGAGAGGGCGAGCATGTTTGGTGTGACGAGGATTCGAACCCGTGACCCTCAGATTACGAGCCCTAACCACCTGGCCATGCCGGGCCAATATAATGAATAGATATTACGACGTTATTCATCATTAAATATATTGTTGTGTTACCCCAAGTTGTTACAGTACATGTCGTCACATCATGCTCTATTTCAAAACCATGCATCTTGACAGTAGCCCTTCATCGCAGGCCCTGTTCCTCAGCATTTATATCTACCCGCTCTCCATGCAGGCTTTTCATACTTCATAAAATATGAGGGTAACGATTTCACAGCGCATGTTTCAACTATTCAGTCATACAAAAATCCTTAGGTGCTCCGTCCGTTATGTCTTTGTATGGAATAAAATGATTGCTTGAGGGTTGAATGTATATACGAAGGTTGAATGTATATGTCGTAGAAACATCTTGTGTCACTTTTCCAGATTCTTTTTAGTTATGTTGCGTAATGTTAGATGAGACACGTGGACGGTTTTTCACACTGACTTTTGTGTTTATAGATTATCGACTGTTACACAATTTGCTTACCACTGATCGGACATGCCTTGTTGCCAGTCTCTTTCTGGACGGTTCTGGTACCCCATGTTGATCGATATTACTTTGTTTTCAAATTCAGTTGAATACAAGGGATAACTACCGTCTTGAAAATGCTAAATCCCCTACCCGAACATGTCTTTATGATCTGAGTGTTACATATCCTTCTCAAAATCGCACTACCTACATAACGCCAAAAATTTCCTAATGTAGTTCTGATACACGCCGTTCCACTGCGACCTCATTTCGCCTGTGGTTATTACATGATTTGCGTTTTTGCATACTCAAAATTGTTTTAATATAATCTACTCAACGCCTCTGTAAGTCGCACCGGTATGATTTATTTAAAATTAAGTATGTGAGTTAGTTCGGTAAATCACACATGGGTAACTATATATTTACTGAGACCCTAGTTTGACTCTCTTTCAATACAACAATTTTTTTCTTTTCCAGAAGCAGAATCAAAACAACAGTATTTTCTAGTGAAGCCATCTGATACAGAGGTTATAGAAGGTCTTACTGCCATGATTCAGTGTAAAATCAAAAATTTAGCAGGAGCTGTACAATGGAGTAAGGACGGGTTCCTTCTGGGTGAGTTCAGAGCAACGGATCATTTTTATACTACATTAATGGAATGTATTAGTCTTCTAGTTGTATTAAACTTGAAAAGTAATTTTCTTTCTGCACAACTAAACTAATTTAGTCCAACTTTATATTTTACTTCCAATAACTGGAAGGTTATTTATATTTACAAACCACACATCTTCGAGTTTTAGAAACTTGCTTTAGAGAACAAGAAAGACATGTTTTCCTGTTCTTCTCCAATGGTTTTCTAAACAAGTGTATCTCGAACACTGTTAGAAAGAATATAGATTTGTGAAATGAATAATGAATTCAGCAGATTACACCAAGCTTCATTACTCTGGTGCCCTAGGAAAAGCTCCAACAGAAACTTATTGATTATGCCCAGGAGAATACGGGCTTTCTGATGTAAAATATATAGATACAGAATCAAAGCTTGAGAATCACTAACAAAAGTAAGATACCGAGACAGAAAACGTTTACACATCCTACCAGAAAGAAGTAGCTAAAGCTAAACGACATTCATACTTACAGAAACAATAGTAACATGTATACCTACATACATACAGTTTTGAAAGAGTATATTGTATTCGTAAGGTAAAAATCACACTGTTACTCGTAATTCGCTAGAACAGTATGATAAACCATTATATTTTAAAATACATAAACCGACGTACAAACAATATTAGGAAATTCTTATCTCACTAATAAGAACAACTGAATGAGTGGATCACTTTATTATTTCGTCATATGCTTTTATGTTTATATATTTAAATTATTCATAAGTGATTAATATTATTTAACGTGCTATGGTTAAAAGCCAACCATTAAACATCGAAGGAGTAGTTTCTATCTCTCATACTTACTTCAAGTAATTTAAAAACACTAAAGTTAGCTGATGTAATTAATTGCCATAAAACCTTCCGTTTTGACGTTTTACTACTTTGTAAACTACGAACAATAAATGCCTATTTTATTATTAGTGATTATCAAGATTTCTTATGGCGAGAGTTAAGTTCTCAGATCCGCTGCTTGGCAGTCGACCCGATACAGATTTATATTTTATGAGCTTCTACTAGCGTTTGTAGGCTTAATATGCACTGGTTTCTGCATGCTAATGCGGAAAAAAAAATATTTCTTCTCGCACCCAATAAGAATCACCGATAAAAAAAAGGATGACATAAAAACGTATAGTCTACGGGTGACTGTAAATCAACTAAAAAAAGGATGACATAAAAACGTATAGTCTACGGGTGACTGTAAATCAACTAAAAAAAGGATGACATAAAAACGTATAGTACTATGGATGACTGACAAATCAAACTAAAAAAAGGATAGAATAATAAAAACGTATAAGTCACGGGTGACTAGTAAATACAAACTAAAAAGTATAGACAATAAAACATATA